ATTAAGTCTAGAAGTTTTTTGGTGGAGTTTTTTGGATCTTCAATGTAGAGTATCATATCATCAGCAAATAATGATAGTTTAACTTCTTCCTTTCCTATCTTTATTGCTTTAATTTCTTTCTCTTGTCTAATTGCTGTGGCTAATGTTTCCAGAACTATATTGAAGAGAAGTGGTGATAGTGGGCATCCTTGTCTTGTTCCTGATTTTAACATGAAGGTTTTCAGTTTTTGGCCATTCAATATGATGTTGGCTGATGGTTTTTCATAGTTAGCCTTTATTAAATTGAGGTATAGACCATCTATTCCAATTTTTTGCAGGGTTTTTATCATGAATGGGTGTTGAATTTTATCAAATGCTTTTTCTGCATCTATTGAGAGGATCATATGGTTTTTGTCCTTGACTTTGTTAATATAATGGATTACATTTATTGACTTTCGTATGTTGAACCACCCTTGCATCTCTGGAATAAATCCGACTTGGTCAGGATGGATGATCTTCTTAATGATCCTCTATATTCTGTTTGCTAGTATCTTATTAAGGATTTTTGCATCTATATTCATTAAGGAGATTGGTCTGTAGTTCTCCTTTTTAGTTGTACCTTTCCCTGGTTTGGGAATCAAAGTGATACTTTTTAGCAGGATTTCTCAAGCTTGAATCACCCTGTCTTTGTAGCAAATCTGAACACAAAATTACTGCCTTTGTTTAAATCTTTTGTGCATATAACATCACTGAAAATGTTGGAAAACCAGTACACATGCCATATGCAGAGATAAATGAAAAAAAAAGCACAACTATAAAATAACAAATATGTTTCAATGTTCTCTAGAATCAGCTTGTGTGTCACTGGTGATATACAGACCCAAGTTTGGAAACAGTGCCCTAAGAAGAGTAGGATATGATTTCTCCAATCTGAGTTACTGGAAACCCCTGCAGTCAGGTTCTAGTACCCGGCCCAGTATACAATGCAGGCCTGAGAAATAAATACACAAAGAGACAGAACTAAGAGGGAGAAAGTGGGGAGACAAAGGCTGGAGCAACTGACAAAGGCGCTGGCCAGTTCTGGGCACCGACTTTCACTGGGGTAAATGCAAGCTACATGCAGTTTCTATGGAAACAATGTAACAAGGCTTGTAAAGGACAAGACAAAGCATTCTCAAATCAGGAACAAAATAAACAAAATATATGGTTGTAATTAGATCATTGTCCTGCTGGTCAGAAGTTTTTAGTTGTGGGAATGGAATTTGGGTGTGAGTTACTCTGATGTAGGCTTCAGCCAGACTCACTTCTATAAACAATCCAATTGAGGGGTGAACTCTTCACAGCCTGCTTTGCGCATAATCAATATTACAGTTGTCTGCACTGAGTGTCCCCAGTCCTCCAGTTATCAGTGATCACTCTTTCATTAACTTAAGAAACAGACAGCCTAAATAAACTTTCTGAACCTTTTCTATGCTTTATGCCAAGACTTCTGCACTCCCTTCCCGGACTTTAGTGGATTTCCAAAAGGCCTATGTTTTTTAGGCTGTGTGGACTACTTCCTTTCTTCACTGTGTGGGTCCTGATTGACAACCTATATTTCAAATGGTCCAAATTTCCATTCTAAACCTTATGAGCTACAGATTCTTGTATCCAACCACATACTTACCAGTGCCATTTGGACATCCTGTGGCCATGTCAGACAGCAGATTGAAAACTGAACTCCTAGTCAGGTGTGGTGGTACCTGCCTATGATTCCAACAACCCTGGGAGGCTGAGGAAGGAGGACAGAAAGTTTCATTCCTGCCTGGCTGGGAAACTTAGCAGGACCTTGTCTCAAAATAAAAAAATAAAAAGGTCTGGGTAGATTGCTCAGTGTGAAGGCCCTGTATTCTTTCCTCAGTTCAACAAACAGAAGAAAAAAAACAGAACCCTGATCTTGGTTGCCCTAAACCAGCTTCTCCCTCATCTTTCCCATTTATTCCTTAGCCCTCCAGGAGGGCAGAGACTATGTCCGTCCAGTCACTGTGCATTTCCTATGCATAGATACTGCCTTGCACAGAGACGGTACCTGTATCAGTCAGCTTAAACTGTTGTACCGCAGTGACAAGTGACCACAAACCAGTAACATACAGCCACTTCAGTTTACTCTTGCTCACATCTCTGACTCTCTCAGCTCAGCTGGGTCTGTGTTCCTGTCATCTTCATTCCAGAAGAAAGATTGAAGCGTCCGCCATCACTGAGTGCACTTTTCTCATGGCAGGCAGGAAAAAGCACTAATGCAACCACTGATGGTCCTTAAGCTCCTGCTGCTGTTTACATTCCATCAACAGGCAGGCAGGCTTTGCCCTGCTAACTACTTGGGAATAATAGCACAGCTTACCACAGCATTGATAAATGTGGACCAGATACTGACACAATGAGTAAAAGTATCAGGCAGCTTCAGTGATGGATCTAAGAACAGAACATTACATGTGGGTTAGGAAACAGGCTTCCTACTTAAATTGTATATAAGCATCTGGAACATACAACTTATCCATTGGCCTAGGATATTGATTTCTCTCATAGACTAAGACAAAGGCATCACACACTGGCCTCACCCAGGAGTCTCACATATCAACCAGAGAGGCGGAAGCCTAGCCAGTCTCAGGTGTGGGTCCCCTCCTGTGCCCTCCGGCATGTCTGTCTTCCCACTTGGCCTGAGCCTTGGCATCTTGCAGACATCCCATACCAGACCACTATTCCTGGAGTCCCAGATGATCAATGCACAGGGCCACAAACCTCACTATGTCTTATGGGCCTCACTGTTCAAGGGTCTGCAAAGAATCTCACCACTCCTAGGAATTATTGGGGCTGGAGAGATCCCTCTGAGTCTTGTATGGTTTGGTCCTTGAGGATCAAAAGCTTACAATAAGTCCTGTCCAAAGGGCTGCCTCAGGAGGTAAATCAGAACCCGTAGCCTATCCTACCTCAGCTGGAGTCTCCCACAGGTCCACAGGGTAGGAGAGCCAGGAAATCAAGACCACAAGACCTGCAACAACTGTCCAGGTAGGTGAGTCTGGGTACCTGGTCATGGTGGAGTAAGAGGGTCATGGGTGTTACACTTTGATCACAAAAATGGAGTTTTCCGTACACACACACCTGCAAGAATATAAAATGGCAAGCACACAATCCAAGTTCATGTCAACAGAGTCTTGATTAAGACCAGGAGTACACAGCGGAGCACCACCAACTGTCCAAAGAAAGGACCTCTCTAGGCGGTTGCAAGGCGAGATCTCCAGGTCACGTTGTTACAAACAAACAAACAACAAACAAACAAAAGGTATGTGTGGGGCATGGTACAGAACAACGTGTAGCACGTGTTCGTTTTTGTGGGAGAACAGCACAAGTAGAATGTACTTACATACCCTATTTTCTGTTTTTGTACTGGTAACAGACACCCAACCCACACAAACCCCCACGGCCTGTAGGGGGCGCAGAAAGACAGAGTACTGTAGAAGGAAGGGCAGAGCAAGTTTTCCACAGCACGCTTTTAAACGTAGTCATCTTGCTTCTCGAACCATGTAAGGGTATTGATGACCTGTCCCCCAAATAAGCTAATTGCATAGATAGACCACGCCACGCCTCGCTCCTCCCGTCGCACACTGAATCTCTGAGCCTGGGGCCTAGCCGAGCACCCCCTTCTCCTGCCGCGCGGGTTGTTTCCCCAGGCGAGAGTGAAACTCGGGCTGAGACCGGAGCCTCAAACCAGAGCTCGGCCGGGCCACGGGGCTAATTTGCACGGCAGGAGCGTCCTGCTCCTCGGCCTCAGTTCTAGCCTGTCAGACTCTCAGGAATGAGGACCAGGAGCTTTGTTCGGCCGCGAATGGGGACACGGAGGCCCGGAAATGTGGGGGGCTCCGGGGTGGGCGCCCCGCGTGGCTGCGCGGCCCGCCTGCTCCC